GAGGTCGAAAGCGGGGAGGTCTCTTGGACGGAGATGATGGCCAGGAGTTTTTCCAAAATGGACAGGGAAATTACCGAATGGAGCAGTGGCGCAGCCGGGGTTTCAGCCGCCACTTGCCGCTGCGAACTACAAACTCCTCGTCGTGACACCGTCGGATCCACAGCTGTCGTGGCGGTTGTATCACCGGACAAGATAATTGTGTCCAACTGTGGCGATTCGCGGGCAGTTCTTTGCCGAAATGGTGTCGCAATTCCACTCTCGACCGATCATAAACCGGACCGTCCCGATGAGCTTAATCGGATTCAAGAAGCCGGGGGCCGTGTTATTTATTGGGACGGACCGAGAGTTCTTGGAGTACTAGCAATGTCTCGTGCAATTGGTAATTTGGTCAAACAATTTTTTTTTCCATAGTTATGGGATTCGTTAGAATTGAATTTTTAATCTGGGTTTTCTTCAGGCAATAACTATCTGAAGCCGTACGTGATATCGGAGCCGGAGGTGACCATAACTGACCGGACGGCGGATGACGAGTGTTTGATTTTGGCCACTGATGGTCTATGGGATGTAGTGTCAAACGAAACAGCCTGTAGGGTGGCGCGTATGTGCCTTCAATCACGTAAGCCGCTCAGTGACAGTGCCGGCGGAGATAGCTCCGATAAGGCTTGTTCGGATTCATCAATTTTGTTGACCAAGTTGGCCTTGGCGCGACATAGCGCCGATAATGTTAGTGTTGCCGTGGTTGATTTGAGAAGGGGCCATTAGCGGCATCAGTGGTGAATTTTTATTTTTGGGTTTGTATTTTAATTACTTGAATATATACCTTGGAAGAGAAGGAAAGTGAGTAAAAGATGCAAATGATGTTGAAGCCTAATGTTCAAATGGCAAATATCCATACATTTCATCTCTAAACGATTTAACAAGTAAAAATGCAAAAATGCAGATTGGCGAAAAATATGATTAGTTGTGTCACATGTAAATCATAATTTTTAGCTTATAAATTTGTTAATAATTTAATGTGATGAGATTTGATTCAGAAATTTTGACAATTTTAAATAATTTTCAATTTATAAAAAAATATGTAAATAATGATCTGTAACAATTTTTTTTTTT